GCGAACTAGACGCAATTCCATCTGACTGGTCCCAATCACTGATCGTGCCAGTCTATAAAAAAGGAGAAACGTCTTTTTGTGACAATCACAGAGGAATCAGTTCGACTAATATAGTGTCTAAAATATTAGCTTCAATAATACTTGGACGCCTAACCAAACTCGTGCAGAGCAGACTAGAGAAAACCAGGCTGGTTTCCGACCTGAATGTGGTTGTATGAACCAGATATTCACTCTACGTCAGGTCCTAGAACATAGACATACATTCAGACGCCCCACAATAGTAGTATTCTTCGACCTTAAGGCGGCATTTGACACTGTTGACCGTGAGGTTCTATGATAGTGTTTGTCACTGAAAGGAGTACCAAAAGGCTCTGTACTCGAATACAACTGGTCGAGTTAGAGCCTAAGGCGAACTGTCATCAGAATTGATTACCTCAAGTGGTGTTCGTCAGGGCTGTTCACTCTCTCCATTCTTGTTTAACTTTGTCGTTGACATGCTTTTAGAGATAACACTTTCATGATCCAAATTTAGAGGAGTTGAACTTCTACCAGGAGACTCACTTATTGACTTAGAATACACCGATGATGGTGAAGGCGCTGACAAAATGCAGTCTCCTAACCACCGTATGCAACAATGCAGATATGTTCGGGATGGAATTCTCTCCCTCGAAGTGCAAAATGTTACTTCAGGATTGGGTTTCATCGACACCGGAACTAATGATAGGGAGTGAAGTAGCTGAGCGTGTTGACAGCTTCACTTATCTTGGAAAACTCATCAGCCCTTGTGGTCTGGTGTTTGACGAAATCTCAGCACAGATACAGAAAGCTCGACTATCTTTCACCAACTGGCGTCTTTTATGGCGTATGCGAGACATCCGTCTACCAACCAAAGGACGGGTTTACTGCGCAGCAGTTCGCTCCGTCCTACTTTATGGCAGTGAAACATAGCCGGTAAGAGTAGAGGATATTCGTAGACTACCAGTATTCAATCATAGGTGTTTTTGAAGCATTGCTCGTATATCCTGGGACCACCAAGTAAGTAATGCAATTGCTAGGAAACGAGTACTAGGTAGGGATGGTAAATCGATTGATGAAGTAGTGAAACATCATCAGTTGAGATGGCTGGGACATGTGTTACGTATGCCCGACCACCGACTGACCCGACGTACAATGTTTCATGGTGTAGGAGTAGGTTGGAAGAAAGCTAGGGGTGGCCAGACCAAAATGTGGCACAAATCAATGAAGTGACTGACAAGTGAACTGAGCCATGTTGGTAGGTGTATACTACCTAGTTGGGATGAGCGAGATGATAGCAATCGATGGTTAGAGACCTTGAATGACATGGCTCAAAATCCTGTGCAATGGTGAAGGTGCATTCACTCTTTGTGTTCTGCCGAATTCTAATCTTATGAATTCTTCATGTCTCTATCTTTTTTCTCTTTCCAAATTTATTTGGCTGGATTATACTCCTTGAATAACATCTTTAAACCCTAATCTTCCCGATTACTGCTTATACTTTTACTACCTCTGTCACAAAGGGATTTGAATCGACAACTGCATCTCTGTGCTAATGTGGTATGGCATTTCGAACTGATGTACGTAGTACGAAGTTCTACGTTGTGATTGACTGACTGCTCCTAACCAAACCATAATAATTCAATGGTGATTAATTACCACGTTCAGGATGAACTTTCCAACATCTGAAAAGTCAACAAAAGCCTAAGTCAAATCGACCAAAATTTGTAGAAACAATGTTATTCTGAAAATCGTAAACTAAAATCTCTACTCAGAAAAAAACGTAGATACTCTCCAACTTCCTGGATAAAATCTATTCTACGCAATAAAGTCACCTTCAGTTCTTTCCATAGTTGTTTACTACTATTGATTACTACTTGATGACTGCAAAGCAATCGAATCTCTGCTCAAATTTGACTGATTCACGTGATTAATTATTAGTTAGTAGTCCTGAACCATCATTTTGAATTTACCAAAACCTCTCATATCTCTTTTATTATGTATTCATTCAGTTTACATCTTTAGGTATTTTAATAATTATTCGTTTTCAGACATTTTAATGCAGAAAGTCCCTATCATCAGATTAGGAATCGTTTACTAACTAAAATATACTGAACAACCCCAACCAAGTAGTCTGCATCTACCAAAATGGCTCACACCAGAAGTTAGTGACTTCAAGCACTGATGCATGTTTTGGTTTGGCAGTCCCTAACTCTCTTCCAGCCATCCCCTATACTAGTCAGCATTGCGCATCGTGGTAATCGGTGTTCAGGCATATGTAACTCATGGCCCAACCATCCTAGTCCATGTAGATTTACAAACTCATCAACTGATTTACCATCATTCCCTAACACCCTGAGTCTAACCCCACTATTATTTACCCGGTGATCCCAGAAGATGCGAACAATATTTCTAAGGCATCTGTGATCAAATACTAAATAACGAGTATCTTCTACCCATAATGGCCACGTTTTGCAGCCGTAAAGTAGAACAGAACGATCCGTCGCACATTATACTCGTCTTTTAATTGATAGACAGATACCTAGCCTTCACCATAGATGACGTAAGTTGGTAAAAGCCAAACGACCTTTTTGAATCCGTGTAGAGATTTCGTCAGACAGCAACCCATTAGGGCTGTTTAGAATTCCCAGATAAGTGAAGTTTTCTGCGAGTTCGACTACATTGCTCCCTATTCTTAGTTCAGGTGTTGACACACGCCAGTTCTGAAGCAATAATTTGCAGGTAAAGAAACACATCTCAACATTGTTGCTCAGTGCTATCAAAACTGCATTTCATCAGCGTCTTCACCAAACAGGACTATGCCATTTGCGTATTCTAAGTCCATAAGTGGACCTCCTGGAAGGAGATCAATTCCCGAAAATTCAAACGAAGAGAACGTTATTTCCAGCAGTAGGTCTATGATGAAATCAAATAAAAGTGGAGATAGTGGACAGCCTTATCGGACACCACTTGAAATTGCAAAATCAGATGACAGTTTGTCATAAGCTTTGACTCGACTGGTAGTGTTCGAGTAAAGAGCCTTCACAAGGTTTATTTACTTTTGAGGTACACCTTTTAATGACAGACACTGAGATGGAATCTCAAAGTCTAGAACCGAATGCTGCTTCTAAGTCAAGAAAAACCACTATTTCGGACGCCAATGAATATGTCTACGTTCTAAAATCTGACGAATGGTGAATACGTGGTTGGTGCAGCCACGATCAGGTCTGAAGCCAGACTGATTTTCTCGTGTTTGCAGTTCACGAGTCTTTGATGGGAGTCCGATAATTATTGAGGCTAGAATTTTAAACGCTATAATAGTCGACCTAACCCCTCTATGGTTATCACAGAATGATTTTGATCCTTTCTTAAAATAAAACAGATAATATGAACGAAGAATAATCTCAATAATGTTTTTTCGGGTTCTACAAATCTATATCCAAATAATTAACCAAAACATTGGCCAGGTTTGAAGCAAAGTACATCATTCAAAATAATAAATGTAACTTTTTTATATCCCAATGAGTAGAAGAATTGTATTTCTGACGGTTAGTTATTTACTCTGAAGAAACGGCTTACATCAAGTTACGAAATGCCAGAAACACAATTTTTTTACTCATTGGGATATAGTAAAAAAGATATTTACTATTAGCTTTCTGCACAATGCTCAATTTATTTGAAACTATCAAGTCCAACCTTGGCATTGATACCTTCATCATTTAAAGCTATACCATTTTAATTAAGGATTGTTCATAACATAAAATCAAATCTAATCGTTAATGTTGGGGTGACTAATATGAAGTGTTGACTTGAATACGCCTATAGGTTAACAGAAATTGTGAGATAAATGAACAGAATAAATATGGTTAACATGGTGTGAGACAGTGATGAAATCATGTAATATGTAGAACAATATGAATTGGGTACGAACTAGTAAATAGGAGTGGATGCTAAAGAAATCTCTCAAAAACTTGGCAGGTATTATAATAATAAGTATAACAATGTGTGAATAAATTCAAGCCATGACAACGAACATTAATCAAATTACGTCACCATATATATGGAGGATCAATGATTGCGACCATTCAAACGATATTATGTACAGCGTCCAGATTTTATCAATTTAAACTTCATCATAAATCAGTTATTGAATATTTACTAAAACGTCGTCACAAATTTTATTGTTTAGTAATCATTACATAAAGCATAATTAGAAAGGCTTTGCTGTATGGACATATGCACTCGATGTTCATTTCTACATCAATCAGTTATGAATTCTAAAATCAAATGAATCCCAAACTAAAACTATTAATCACATTTACTTCCTTATACCCGTTATAGCTCATGGAGCATGAGCCACCGACCATTATTCACCAACTAACTATGTCCTAGGTTTTTTTCTCTAATTGTCTCAAAGCATTATCCACTCTCTTGCCGTCTGCCTTCAGTTCGCTGCGCAGTGTGTTGTTTGTCTGCGCCTTTCCCTTTTCCCTTCAGGATTCCATATTATAGCTTGCTTCTTCACTCAGTGTGATGACTTCGACAATGTGTTCTACACACCTCTAAGATCTTTTCCTAATTGCCTCCTCAGCTCGAAGCTGGTCTGTTCTCTACCACAGCAGGTAGTGAATGACGATACCCGGTCAACGGATATGATGCATCTTGTGCAGATAACTGTTTATAAAAACCCGAAAACTTTTCATGATAGTTGTAGTACTTCACCAAGTTTTAGCTCCACATAACAGAATAGACATTACGTCTGTATTGGAAACTCTGACTTTAATGTTGACTGACAGTTCTCTTGACTTTCAGTATTTCATCAGGAGTCGGAATGCTGCATTCTTTTTGCCTTAATTAATATTGATGAGCTCCACAAATAAATCGAAATAATCTAGAAAAAGATTAGAAAATATAATCTATTTGAGAAAGAATTCAGTATCATCATTACACTTAAGTTTGTACACTATTCTCACACTCAATGTAGACAACAATAAGAGGATAATATTGAACTCTGACTAGAGTAAATTGAAATAGTAAATTACATGACTTTTTTTTATAAATCTTAGTCGGTTAAAAAAAAAGTAAGCTATAAAATCACAACACATATTTGTTCTTTAAATATTATCAGGAAAGAAAAACATAATTTCAATCTTGTATTTCCGAAAATTAGTGCACGAGCATGTATAACCTGAGGATTAAAGTGAGTTTACTATATACACAGAATTAGGAAATAAATTAAGAAATATTACACGACGGTTTTGAAGAGGTATTATGATGTGTTGTTCTAGACGATTGTGCATGAGATGTTTGACTGGAAAGTGATTCAGACAATGCTAAAGCCAGTTGTAAATCTTCTTCTTCCTGAAGTTCACGAGAATTTACACCATATGGCAGTGAAGTAGCAACAAAAGGTGGCGATGATTGAATGGTATTTGTTGGCGATGCATTCTGCAAATTATCAAAAAGAGGCCATTTCGAAAGGATAATGTGACAAGAAGAATACGCGATTGAAATTCGCACTGTGAAAATTTAAAGACAGTAATTAGCAACTGTTAGTGGGACATAGATTGGATGTTTCATGTATGCATGTTTTATGCATGATGGTGTTGCTGCGCGCTGATTGGCTAATTCTAAACCAATCAGCCCGGGCATATTATTGGAGAAAAATCTAGAAGCTTCTTATGTATATACTATAAATATATGAACGTTATTTAAACTAGTGATTGCTGTTCACATAACATTGTTATTTTTGAATACAATTTCATTCCTGTTCAACGTGTTCTGATTTTGGGGTCTTATCGAGTGTCATCGTATAAGAATACTAAGCAATAGTAATCGCTGGGTCGTTTTATGGCAAAATACATTTATAACAGCAACCAACTGAAAAAAAGCAAAGAAATGGTCAGTTTATGACAAGGCGCTGTGGAATGAAAGATAACTTATGGGGCTGAAATCTACTGGTTTATCATGACTCATAGGTTGGGGCCCTGGGAATTGTGGAACCCAGTAGCTTGAGTCGTTATCGCATATGACTCGGAATAAAGACCAGTGGCAATCCCATTTTAGTCTTCTGTGATAATCTTCATACAAGTGACACTGATCCCATTCACTGAGTTTGTCTTGGTTTGATTTTCAACTGATCTGCTAACCTACTATTATTGTTCAATTATTTATTGACTGTACTATTCTTTTCACTTCTTCACAACATGGTCACTTTATTTGTGTGCCGTGTTTTCGGTACCCAATTGTACTAGGATTTATCTGTCTATATAAATAAAAGATTATGGCCAAATATGTTTGTAGTACAAATTCCCACATCCCAATCTATCAGGTATGATATGAAACAATTCCTTTCTTATAATATACTCCATTCCAATCATTTGTTTATCGACTAGACTATGTTTGTAAGCAAAATAATCAAACTTTCACATGTGATACTTTAATGTAAAAAGAATAAAGTCGATTTATAAATTATACTTATGGTCAAAATGACAAATAAGATGACTTTTCCCAACCTTCATATACATATATGCAAACAGGACAAAAAATTTACCTTCGAAGTCGAATTTGTATTGAAATTGCTAAAAATAGCTCTATAGAGAGCTGCTGCACCAGAAGTTGACAACTTTCTATAATTATTCAGATTTTGTTGAAATCCTTTACAATTATGATCTAATTCATTACGATGTGAAATACAGAAATTTAATTTGCATCTATCACAAACAAAAGGTACAAGTTCCTTCTTTTTACATCGTGGAACACAGCAAGCATTTGTGAATAACTATAAACAAAGAGAACAAAATTATGTAATAGAATCGCAAATGAGAAGAACAAAACATGAACATACATTTATGTCCGGACATTCAGCTTACCCATATTAATTGGTGTTCTGGTTGTCAGAAGGACATCGGCCTCGTGATTCTCGGGGAATCTCAGCTTTCACTATGAAGCGTCATAACTCTTCTAAATGAAGATCTTTCAACTCTCAGGATAGATTTTAAATTATTAAAATGACTTTTTCGGCTAGCGTCCTTTTGGGAAAGGATCTTTTTTACGGGATGGGGTTGCTATCTTTATGCCAACCTCTTCTTTATCAGGACTTGGAGTCAAAAGTAACACTAGAAGCGATCTGGGCAGAGTTGACCACTAAACTACTGCTCCAACAATCAATACATTTAAGAATTCAAGCTGAATTATGGTTGTAGTTTTCGTGTAGTTGTTACTTATAGGAATTTATCACATTCACTTGACTCATGACACGATTTCGTCACTTTGACTTCATTGAATTTCGAGAATAAGACAACTGTATGCTGAATGGCCGATTTGTTTATTTGAAAACATTTTCGTTTCTATAACTAGAGTCATCTAGTAATCTTTTTATCAATCATAGTTGTCTAATTTGTTTGCGAAATATAGATTCTGTGTTCAATGAAACTTTTTGGAGAAACTTACAGTATAATCATTTTTTAAGCTTAAATGACTTATAAACTAATACCGAAGTAGTGTTTATGTTTTAATGGTTTACTTTTATGACTTAATGGTCTGTTTCACATCCATTCTCCCAGCATTTCTAAGCAAAATATGCCACTTAGTAGGTAGATTTCTGCTAAATCAGTATGACTTAAATGCAGGATAGGTATTTATACCATTTGGCAACAGGCTCGATAACTTTCTCGATCTACAAAGATTCATTAGAGGAAATTGAACTGTTTACGCTCACTAATTATGTTACTATCATGTCAGAGATTCATAAAAAAGGGTCTTATTTTTGACCGCATACATTTTTAGGAGGATTGGATAAAATTCTGTTATGTATACTCGTTAAATTAATCAAAGTTCAAGGGGATGTTCAACAACACTTTATCTCTAATCATAGATAACGACAGTAATATCACTATAGATAATTCTCAGTAAGTATCATTTCTAAGACTGCGACTTTTTATGAATGTGGACAACCAGATGAGCGTCAAGAAAAGTACGACTACTACATATTATGAAAATGACTGAAACAGATGATTAATGATAAGAAAAAAACATATGGGGGCATAACTAAATGTTTGATTTCTTTGTGCATAGTTTACCGGATTCGCCCTCTAAAGATAATATACGGGATAATCTCTATTTACAATGATTTCGACTTATGCCCAACGTTTTAAGCCGCTGAGTTCATAGTTCCTTTAACCTTAGTATGAAATAGTAGTAGAAACTAGCCTGGGAAACTACCCTTCATCTCACTCTCGGCACTATAAACAGATTATGTCTTTGCATCGTCCGAACAACAATTAAATTAGTTGAGGGGGTGTGAGTAACATATGGGTAAGTTATCGTGTCTTTCGAAATGATTTTCTAGGGTCAACAGCTTTTTATACTGTGTCTACAGTACATATTGATGGATTTTACAGTGTATTGAAATCTTCATTACCCAATAACAAAACAGACAGTGATGGATAATTGCATAACTGGATCTCACAGTCGTTGAATAGAACACATACACAGACGCATTATAGAGGGTTTCTCAGCAGTCAGATCTAAGTCTCAACCCATCATTAAGCAGTCCATATCATCACATAATGTTGTGGCTTCCAATACATAAAAGTTAATCTTTCCTTTAATCCAACAGTCTTCAATATTTGGAATACCATAGTGTTGGAAGTGAGAAATGAGAATAACATTTTGAACGTTAATCAAGTAGCTAAGAAACTGTTTATACATTAAACACTAAGTAGTGAAATTTTCTGAAACTCACTAATTTTCAGGAAGTCAATTGTGATGCAAGATTTTACATTAGAGTTAACTCAGTTAGTACCATGAATGTGAATTAATGACCGTGAAGTATTATTCCATAACAATGACACACACAAATGACCAATATTAATATGTTGCGGCGTAAATCTGATTCCTTTTTGACCGTACGTACTATCTATCCTCGTATGTAATAAATGACCTTATCCGCGTTAGTGAATAACGGAATTAAATACGTCAAATACGAGAATGGATTTAGAATACATATAATTTCTACACCCATTGGTCTGGCCAGGGAATCAGGGTGATGAAGCGAATAAAATCGAACGAAGCGAAAATGACATGCAGTGGAGATGGCGGAGAAACCAACTCGAGAGCGAAGCGAAAATAATGAGTATTAGAGATGGCTGGGAAGCCAGATGAGAGCGAAGCGAAAATAATGCGTATTGGAGATTGGAGGGGGAGCCAACACGCTATGAGCAAGCATTATTCAATATTTATAATCAGGCAAAAATGAATTACAGACATATGTTGAATTAGATGTGAAGTGTGTACACATATACGCTCATATAAAAAGTAGTCAAGGTTAATAAACGAATAATTAACAAGATCAAAATATGACTCAAATGGATAGGCGAATTGGCTTGGCCATTAACTAGAATAAAGTATATGGGCTTAACATATAAACTGATACTACAAATACATACGACACTAAGAGACTGGAATTTCGCCAACTGAAATTAAATGTAAATGCGGCGAGACTAAAGAACATGGAAGACCTTTGAACGAATCTTATATGACCTTGAGAAATATTAGCCAATCAGAAGACAGTTAGTGTAAAGTAAAAATTTATTATACAAAACCAAAGTATTAAAGTGGATACTGTTCTCTTACATGAGTTAAAAACTTATCAGGGTTGGATATAGGTTCAGAAGTTCTAAAATCATATTGCATGCGGTAAATGAATTCATTCATATGGCTCCACAGTAGTCTGCCTCTGGAGCCATGATAGGGTCTCAAAAACTCTTTCAGTCTTGACCACATAGCTTCTATGTTGTTAGTGTGCTCCCCAGTAGTAGGGTCAACGAAATGGCGATTATGTATAACGACTTCATGCACATATCCCAGTCTACCTTGACACCTGTATGCTCTCCAATCATCTGTATAAACAGTAGTGCCCGCCAGCACATATTGCTGTATAATCGGTATGGTTTTTGGTGCCTGCCGGTTCCTGGCTCTTTGAAAATGTCCTTTTTGTAATGATCTATCATATATACCAAGGACCTGTGAGGTATATTTATGGAAGAGGTACTTACCCAATCTTCTTTAATACAACGGCCATGGTTGTATTTGCGTTTCCTTACAACCGTTTCGTCTATTTCAACAACGTTCCCCACTCCTCCATACAATTGCTGTACGCTTGTCAGTTTTGTTGCACAAATATCTCGTACCATTGAACTGCCGAAACTTCGCTTACATCGGTAAAGGTGGCAGCTAGTGTTACCGGTGCTTTTATTATCCAATTCGCAACAAGTATCATAATTTGTCTCAACCTTAATTTTGACCGAGCGAAAAAAGTCCCTGTTCGAGCTGATTTCTTCTTCCATCATGAAGAACATCGAGAGATAATATCATCACGATAGTCTGCACACCGTACAATGGTCATTCGACTACTGCAGTCACAAGTATAGGAGCTTCTTAATAATCCCTATACTTGTAGTCGCTCAATTATCACGTCTTCTCGAAAATCCACTGTAAAGCGATCGTACGCAAGCATCATGTTCCGAAATTACCGCCGTGACCTTGAAAACCCGCGAAAGCTTCTGATTGGCTCGTCTATGTTCTTTAGTCTCGCCGTAAATGATATAATCTCATCTACACTACTTTATAGGTTACAGTAGGTAACCCTTTATTAAATTTCTTACAATAGGAACTATTACGCTATGAAAATCCCTGCAAAGGTAGAAATACTAATTCCGTGATTATTAGTCAAAATTTACAATGATCATTTTGAAATCAACCTCAAATTAACTGGGAACATTTCGACACCGTGCTGTTATGTTTTCGGACAAAGTAAATGGAAAATACGGACAAACAATGTGCTCCAAACACACAAGAGTTAAAGCACCCGCACCAATGGGGTCGGTTTTGGGTCATATCATATGGTCTCCAACTTAGAACATGGTTATTTTGCAGACTCCAAACAAAAACTATGCATGCCTAACACTTATTCCAGACATCTCAGTCAATAAACATTTACAAACTTACTACTCAATTCTTCACACTTACTTAGTACCACTGTGCCCAAAATCTATGATTTCGCTAAAAAAAGTTTGTCAACAGACTACATTGATGACTTTTACGCCTAAGTGTATTACGGAATATTTAAAACTCATTCTAACCAAATTTCGACACATACTGGGTAGCCGTAAGCCATTTCGTATCTAATGGCATAGTAAAAACAAACCTTAGTGAGGATAATCTAAGATTAAGGCATTATAAACATTACGTCAAAAATAGTGGACAGCGTTTACAAGTATAGACCACTAACCTTTCCTTTTAACTCTAAAGCTGGCTTTGACCGACAATCTGTATCGATATGGTTCCCGACTTTTACATCTGGAAGCTCGCCTGGTTTGAGAGGGACTATGGTTCCACACAAGGGACATACTGGAACCTGTTTATCCTTAAGATCGGGACTTTTACAGCTGTGACTTTCATACAGATAGTGATTCTTGCAGAAAACACCATGACATCCAGAACATCGGACGGGTAAGAAATCTAGAATAGTATAACTTGGGAATTCGCACGTACCAAGCATTCGACAAGTTGGTACTGAACAGTTAGCTCCTAGATTAGGGAACTCCATTAGCGAAAATTGGCTGACCTAGTGACAAGGGGTTTAATGTATGACAAGCAGTTATTTCTTTGAATTAAAATGACAATTAGGAATATGTTAACTAACTCATATATATGACAGTAAAAATAGATGGGTCTAACAGTTGACTTAAGAAGATTGAACATATGATTATCTAGTTCTATTGATATTTCTTGAAACACAAAAATCAAATAAGAAATAATAGATGATCGGAAAGGCAAAATAAACTTACACATGTAGCAGACCATATACTAGACTCGTTAACCCCTTGCGATGTAGTTAACAAATATTAAGAAAAAGACATCTAAAAACACTTGCTAGTTGATAATCTTTGTCATGAGTTCAAAATGTTTACTCAAAGTATGCAGTGTATTAACTTAGTTGGGATGACCAAAGCAATCATTTGTAAGGATAGGAAGCATGTAACATTTAATGAGCGTTAATAAAATACTCGTTTTGTAATAAATGCGTCAGAATCAATTGAGGAACTCCTCACAAGCTTTACTAATGGAAGACTTCTGGAAGGTAATGGTACGTGCATGAAGTTAATACGTTAATAAATTCCTTATAGGATGTTATAACGTCAGTTTGTGCCCTCATGAGTCCGTACAAGGAAAACCGAGCTTAGTAACTGATATACAGGGGAATGGACTTTTAAGATTCAGGCCATACACAGACCCACAGTTACTTTGAAGATCCCTTTCCTTCTAGTGAAATAGGAATATTTAAATGCTTCGTAGTTAGTATTGAATAAATATGGGTTTCGATTCAAGACATTGACTGTAAATGTGTGGCAATAAATTGTGTTCATTACATAGTTATTGTTCCATTGTTACATACTTCCATGTGATTGTATTTTGTTTAATTTCTTATTATGTAATATTTAGCCTGTTAACAATAAATACGCCATCATAGACGCACCAAGTAAAAAGCAGCTTGTGATTGCAGCCGGACGCTGGGTTTCGATAATGCAAATTGTTTTTGAACACATAAAGGGGGGTTGTTGGTTATTGGTGAAGAACTATCTATCTATTCAACGGAGCAGATTGATATGCACCAAAGAAACAGTGACCGACCAGATGACAATTGGTCGGTCTTGAAGTGTAAGATTGTTGACAAATGCAGTAAGTTACAAACAGATTCGACAGACTGCATACTGTGCTGCAGAACATATCGTCAAGTATCTGTGGATTGAGTACAAATGTGAAGCAGCTGCTGCCGAAGTCCACTGAGCGCGAACATCCGCATCAATTTGACTGTGGACTATCAAATCAACAGTTCTCTTTGTCATCTGAAGAGGAACTGGAAAAATTAGGCGCTTGTCTAGAGCAGAAAGATGTAAGGGACAGATTTGTAAGCGAACAACTAATTCGATTATTTGTTCGTATTACAGATGGCCATGTTGACGCGTTTAATGAGTGATGATCCTAAAACATCAATGCTATATATTTTGTCGTACATTATGACATCTGAAGTTGCCAGTAATTGCACGCTACTTGGCACTTCAGAAGTGCGCGTTTTACGGCTGCCTACGAAGTAAGATATATAAAGTTTTTAAACTTCAGGTGCATTTATGTCATCATCTGTCAACGCAAGATTATTTCCATGACATGAGACAAGGTACAAAAGCATTATCGAAAGAAGAAAGGACACGTACGTACGACTTAAAAGTGATTACTATTATTGACTTATCTATAGGTACAGTCTTTAGTGTTAACGAACATAACCGTAGGTTCAGCTTCAAGTGGCTAGTTGTACAAAAACAAGTCATTCAGACATAGTAACGTATTTTTTCCTTGCATTTTAGAATTCGCAAGACTTATGATTATCAGCAGTCGAACAGGCGTTATGAAAGGAAATGATTCGAGGAATGCTTTTCCTGTCAAACTCCATTTTCAATAAAAAAAATTTAAATGTGCTAAATTCCTTATTTCAAGATGCCTGTTTGATTTTAAATGCATTTTCAATTAGGCACATGCACCTTATTAATAAAACATCACATGCTTTTTTGTAGCTCTTTACAGACGACACTGGCACCTGACAATTGCAATTAAAGTATAACGGTTGATGCTCTAGCATCTGCTAACTACTCATAACGTTGTACAACAATATGCTTTTTGTTTTCAATAAAATCTTTTGAACACATAACATTACACTTTTTGTGTGCTGTGTTGTGGGAATGTAGGCGAACACAGATGTTTGAGGTAATGACAAGGGTGTTTTAAGAGCGGATGCAAAGTTACATCAGTGTGTAAATAGGTGAAAGATCACAGTTGGGCGGATATTTAGCGACATTTCAAACACAGAGCGACATAAAGGGGGAATTCCGCATTATTCCCCCGGACAGGCGAAAAAGCAGACATTTTAGAGCATTTCCCCCTCATTTTTCAATGTATTTTCCCCTTTGTTCGCCTTTACTTCCCTTTTATTGGTTGTTCGGGAGTGTTGTAACCACTTAAAAACGGAAGAGATTAGGTTTCCCTTAAGACAATCAAAATAATCAAGTTAAATCATATCACACTCTTATCTGAAACTCTTACCGCTGAACACCACTGACTGGTTGAGAAAAGGATAATTAGGGAGGATTAAGGGTCCTATTCTCATTCACAGGAAATCAACTTGGCGCGAAAGTGGGTGAACTCGAACTGACGCGCGTTTTAGGAAATGGAAGTGAGTTCGTATTTATAGTGCACTAACTTTGTTTTGGTACATTTATTGCATCAAAAGTATACGTGGTCAACTTTGAGTTAAATTATTTCAGATAATGTTTGGTTTTGTGTTACCTTTTTATTATCACATTGGCGATTGACTTGTGCATTTTGTCTATTTTTTACCCCCGTAAATCCTTTTAAAATGGTCGGCTATACTCATGAATGTTAACAGCAAAATTTTCTCTTCCATGTGGAGTAAGGAATGTCATGTGATGAGTGCAAATGTGGTTCCACAATATGTGTGCCCTTTTAGATATTATCGCATGAAAAAAAGCCTAACTCCCATTGGTCTTGCGTGTTTCGTTGTCTGAGTAAGAGGCACTTTGGTTTCTGACTTTCGCAAGTACGGACTTTAGTGAAAGCTGGGCTGGTAACGTGAGTACTGACTCAGTGGCCCTATATCTAATTCTAGATGGATCGTTACTGATTGTTATCAAATGACTGCTATCAAAATATACACACACCCCCAATCCTCACATATTGCTATCGACTTAACTCGCGCTAGTGAATAATGGAGTTAAACAGGTCAAATACGAGAATGAAGTTTGAATACGTATATTTCATACAATCGTTGATCAGAAAAAACAAACAGAGCGATTGAGCGAAGAGAAGAGAGTGAAGCAAAATGACGTGTTATAAAGAAGGCATGTGAGCCTACTCAAACTCATCAGGGGTACTCAATATCTATAGTCAGACCAGAAGACAAGTTACAGACACGATGAATGGGATAATAAATGAACACATATATGATCATATAAAAACAGTCAGAATGAATAAGCAAATAGGTGACAAGGTCAAAATGCGATTTAAGAAGGATGGACAGATTAGTCTGTTCAGAAACTAGAGCAGCACATATTTGCTGCAGTGTATTTGCTAGTGATAATCAATGGGTCATGTTATGTGTGTTCACAAATCGGAACAGAAGGTAAGAGGTGTTTTTTAACGACAGTTTTACAGGTATTATGGTAATTGTACGAATTGTGAGAATTGATGAAAAATTAAAATAGTAAAAAACTAATTACAAAAGAGTGTACTTTAACTATTTCCTACACTGACAGCAAATAATTTTTCAATGCTGTTATGGGACAAGACAAATACCTGACTAGCAAACATACAAAATGGAACTCTCTTTCGAGGCACACTAAGAGCCCAAAACCCCTGGATATTGGTGATTGTGATCCTAAATTTGCACCTGAAGACTCAGATAAAACCATTACTGTTCTCAGTAATTCCAATGTGGCTGTCTCGGCCGACGGGAAACAGGGAACATTGGGAAGTACATAAGAGAAAGAGGAATAGTCACAAACAGCTCCTGTTTGTCTAATATGTCATTTTAGTCTCACAGTCTCAGCTACATAGTATCCCCAAAATCCCAAATTAGGACTGGACCCAACACCAGTGTGGTTGCAAAATGTTTAATCCTATTGAACATTGTTGTGAATAATTTGTTTGAATCAAACGAATCTGATCCAAGAACAAATGAATAAAAACTCTAAGTAGTTAACAGGAAGGAAATGAATCCACCATCGAAAGTCGTAAACACGACTTTCAAAGAAGTCATATCTGTTCCCTGTTTGATGATTTGGAATCTGGAGGGGTTGAAAAATGAAGCTGCTAAAAATTATGCACACGATCTCCAGTTAGTGTGATCCTCCATCAGAAGTGGTTTTAAGGGTACATTTTACTGAAGTAATAAGCCTAGGTAAGTGGATAGAAGATTAGATTTAACGGAGAAGGATCTTGAAATTTTCATTTGAAGAGCATTAGGAAAGGGACCTTATGCTAAACAATCCATACGAACCAATTCAAATATTAGTATCCGACCGAAATGATCACTTGAGAATCGAATCGAGTGGAAGAACGTCCTTAATGAGTTGAAAACTTTGAAGCAAAATGGCGAAACAGACCATAAGATTCAGTGTCTAGGGGTAGTCAGGTCTTGGAAACTAATACTCCCGAGAACCGTTTGGGTAAAACGAGTTGTTCTCAGAGCGACTTAAATGTGTGGTACACGAACGCTGTTAGTCGTAAGAACAAAACGTTTGAGTTGAGATTTGTGATGAATAAATGGATTCTTTTAATCACAGGAACGAGGCTCATTGTAGATGCAGACTGTTCTGCATCTGCACTAAAAGTGACAGAGTTATAAATTACAAAGCAAGAGACATAGTTTAATGTGTTAGAAATAGTTTTCGTGTACAATCGAGCGCATCAGAATAGCATGATAGTTGTACATGTGAAGCAACTTGTAGGATTAAATCTAGGCGTGTGTTGGTGACCATATGAGGAGTCCTTATTGCACAACTGACGACTTTGTCTTGAGTTATATTAGTTTTGGGAGTAAAGCTGAATATTGTCTCATCGTTTTTGAGATTTCAACGCGCCACAAATCAACTGGATAGAGCTCACAACTGTAGGCGGATTTTTCGATGGCAAACTGTTATCAACCATTATTCGGTGTGCACTCGTACGCTATATCGCAAAACCGACACATATTGGCTTGGAACACCAACTGTATTTGCTGAACCTTGTCTTTTAACACCAGTGTGATGATGTCATCAACATTCAGCCCGTTCCTCATAGGCAAACAGAGACCACTCTGTACTTTACCTTAGGTTTCGGACACAAAGTACAGAATGCATCTCCTCCACCTTGTCTTAGTAAATGGAGGGCTAGCAATTCAGCAACTAGAGACTGTGCTATCTCAAAGGATTGATTGATCAATGCATATGAGTCAATCGAAAGACGAACGGGATAAGCTTAGAGCCACTTTCGAGGTCGCAACGTTACTATTCATCTCATGGACAACATGTAGGCCATCACGTTGCCCTCCGTGGATAGATAAGGAAATCCGAAGGCTGAGGTGGAGTAGGAAACGCTTCTGGAACCTGTCCTGACCAACGGCCTACGAATCATCTAAGTGTTAATACCGAAAAATCCGGAACATACGTAAAAAGAAAAAAGCTAAAAACCGTCCTGCTTACGAAAGACAGTTGGCATAGGATGGCCTTACTTACATTAGACTAGTGTTTCTGTACATTTAAAGAAGTGATGGGATTCCTTCATTATTTTTACTCGAAAATTCGGGTATTTTAGCCGAATCAGCTTTGCCCAAAGCTGAGGTTACATCAAACTCTTTCAGCGAAGTCTACTGTGCAGGTATTGTTAACAATACTTGTCATAATCATACCACTGAGATACCAGCTATAGGACCTGTACATTTGACTGGAGAAGCTGTTTTTCAATTATTCATTAGCATCAGACCTGTTAAGACACTAGGTTTTGATGGGTCATATCCATGATTGCTGTCATCTCTTGGGGACACTATTTCAGGACCACACGTGATGCTCCTCACCATATCCTTTTCCGGCGAGACTATAATTTATGGACGAGCCAATAAGAAGCGTTTGAGGGATTTCAAGGTCACTGCGCCAATTTCGGTAACTTATGCTCACGAACGATCTGTTCGCAGCGGATTTTAGAAGAAATGTGGTATGTGGGAGGTTATAATAAATGAAACTATTAGGAAGTTCCTTCATTTTTTATCTTGATAATCAAATGACTTGTGGACCTTGTGCAGACTACCGCGTTGATGTTGTCTTTCGATTTATTATGTGTTGGAGAAAGAAATCTGCTAGAATAGGATGTTTTCGCTTTATTCAGATTAAAACTTAGGCAAATTGTGACAACTGTTGAGAACTGGATAATAAAAGCACGAGTAACACTGGCTGCAACCTGGCACTAGATTATATACGGATGATTGAAGAGCGTAAAGATGCCTCCATAGACTTGGTTATGTGCATCGTGTCGTCATCAGCTAGCGGCAGTTTGTGGGCCCAGCAACCTGACTGCATACAAACAATAATGAATCTATGTGGCTGAGGCTGAGACGATCTCTGGGACCTTATCATGTCTCCGGAGGCCAGCTATTATGAAGCCATATGGCTGATTTCCTCTACCGTATGCAATACGATTTTGGAACCTATGAACGTCCCTTTAACTTTGACAAGTTTTTGAACCATGTGAACGAAGTGTATTCATTTTAATTCTTTGGTTTTGTATAATATATTTTTACTCCATACTAACTCTTTTCTGATTGGCTTATATTACTCAAGGCCACTTAAGATTCGTTCAAAGGTCGCCCACAAGTTATAGTCCCGCCCCTTTCTCTGCACTCACCTCATTAAGGATCGCAAAGCTGCCATAGTTCGCCCCATGCAGAAGCTCTCGAGGTTCACAAGAATAAATAAGAAGCTTTCTCTGTGACCGAAGACAAGGAGCGAGAGTAAATGGAGCTCTAGCCGAAAGATGAACCTATAGGTCTACCGCTCGATCTCCTATTTTTTTCTTCTGTACATCAATGAATTACCCGGGATTCCTAAGTTTTCGACAACATTGTTTGCACATGAAGTAAGAATCTGGAGAACAATGAGTCTTGGAGTCAAACATACTGATCGTTAAGCTGAACTGGATGAAGTGGTTAGATGGTCCGAAATTTGGGGCATAGAAGTTAATCTTAAAAGAAATGTGCTCACACACATCGGATATGGTATCAGTTGCCGTTATACTATCAACGGTACACTGATTTTATGCGTGCGAATACGCAAAGAATTAGGAGTATCTGCGGGTCACAACTTAGGAACAACCGTGCATTGCAACGCAGCAGCTTCTAGAGACTCTCGGGCGTTATGGTCACTTCGTTGGTTGTTCAGATGTTTTGTCGATGATAAATATGTCGAATTGTGTGCCCCATTCATATTATATCCCTATTAGAATATTGCATCGAAGCAGATAGTCTGTGTCTTGTTAAAGAAGCTAAAATACTAGCGCGTGGTGATGGTTCCTTTTATACTTTCTTGCAATGATGGATCTGAACGTCTACACCTTCTCTCCTTATCTTTTTGGAGACCGTACATTGACCTTTCGTACCTTAAGGATCCAACATATCATATCTTCTGACTCTCCTTTAGGACTAAACATTTACGAGGCCGCCACGTAACCGCGGCCATTCAAAATTAAGACAGGAGTCCTTCTCTCTCATCGAGTGGTCAATTTCCGAAACATTTTACTTGAGCAAATGATATGAGCTCGATCAGTAAACACTCTCAAGGAGAAGTTGGATCTCTACCAAAAAACACGTTGCGAGGACTAACACATGATAACCAACCTATAATCCTCATTACTGACGAGTGAGCTCTATAAAGTCATTTGTGGGGTCAATGAAGAGTGCATAAATAGATAGACTTCAATCAAAATATACCAGCCTCTCCGTGCTTGTAGTAGATCAACGAGATATTAATGTATGAGTCTTTATTTGGCTCTATTGTTTATAGATCCTGATTCACCTCGACTTCGTATATATTCTTAGGCTTATCTACCTGAGTAATAAGGCCGAGCAACAACGCTATTTCGGCGACCGAATGAGAAAGTTGTTGGATGTTATGGATGAAAAATGTCATTCAGACCATTCTCGCTATTCATAATCACTTCCAACCACCTTCGTAAGCCATAACGCAACAGCCACAAATGGCATGACTGATATGTGGTAGTGGGAGTAAAGTATGACTGACCACTGAGCGTAAATAGACAGACAACTTGTTGGCTATTAAATATGTGACTTTCTTTCCTCTCCTTGACGTCTACTTTGGACTCACTGGGTGTGACTACTTGTAATTGTAATGAATAAAGTACTGCCGTGTTATTCCAGTTCTCTATTCTGGATCATGAATCCTGGGTGTGATGTAACGGGACTAGTTTTATCATCCTACCGACGTACTATCATTGTATACTTGAGCAAGAAAAATATTTTAATCAATTCGTCACATAGGTAATTATTTGCGAAATGCTACACATCATTATTACTATGGTGTGTGTCGTGTATTTGGGTTTCAATCGAAACTAATTTACTAAGTTTAGTTGTCCCTAAAACACGTGTCAATGAGTCGCAGTATTGGGGCTATTAGTTTTCTTTGTTCGTGTAAAAATTCCGAACGCCGAAACCCATATGTATAATTTATTTTAAAACTTTTCTATATCAGTCCCTTGTTAGTTGCTCATAGATTCCATGGTTGGTACGAAGATGCTGATAGGGGTAATAAGTAGAAATACCAATGTTACTTCATATAGTAATGAATTTGAAGGAAGTGTTACTTGACCTTGTGGTAATGATTTATTGCAACCATATCAGGCTTACTTTATTTTCGTAGAAATGATCAATAATCTACAACATGACTTTTATAAGGAAGACATCAACCTAGTAAAGTTAATAAAAAGACTAAGTCAGTAAACTTTTACGATAGAAAACTCATGTAATACAGAAATCGGATATCGAGTTCATCAATTTGTTAGAAACGCTTCGATTTGTCCGCTACAAATAGTTAGGCTTATTTGGCCACTCATCGTCATTAGCACTGCTGTTTCTCCCTTTCTTTTTTCGTCTCCCCGAGGCGCGTTCGCAGTAGGTATATGCAAAGACTTGAACTATGTACTCAGAAAAGTCATAGGTTCTGCCAAATGCATTGTTTAGGACACTTTACAGCAACCGCGAACTTATCATACAATTTTATCCAACAAACTCAATATCCAGTCGCTGTATTACATGAGTGTTCTTTTGTATAAGTTTACTGACTTAATCTTTTGATTACCTACACTAGGTTGATGTCTTCCTTATAAAAGTCATGGTGTAGATTACTGACCATTTATACGAAAAATAGAGTAAGCCTGATGTGTTTGCAATAAATTATTGTTAACAATCGATAACCACACTATCGTTGGCAAGTTTGAAATTTAATGCAACAAGTATGATATGGACACTCAGTTAAAGTCACTAATCCTCTTACAGTACTGAGGTCTATGAATAATAGTAATTAACCTACCTACACTACTAGAGTAAAAGACCTTATATACTATGGTTGTTGTGCCATAATGACTGCCTAATCTGTGTGGTCATTTTCCAAAATCATATTTTTCGGTCCAGACCTGATTCTGACGGGCAAAAATACTCCTTCCTGAGAAACTTTGCTAAAAAAATACGGTCGCATTAATACATTATTTAACTCAAAGACAAGCGAAGCGCTTTTGAGGTGATTAGGCCTGCCGAATCAAAGCATGCAACTTCGTTCACATCAGTGCATCGGTCCATAACCGCCTTCATAGTTTCAAATAAATTAAGCATCGAGTGAAAAGTTACTTATTTACTTACGCCTGTTACCTCTTATGAAGGAGCATAGACTGCACACCAGTATTCTCCATCCAACTCTGTCCTGGGCAATCCTTTCCAGTTCCTCCCACTTGTAATTCATCCTTTTCATATCTGCTTCTATTTCCCGAAGTCGATTAAGAGTATAGGGCACTTAAGGACGCAGTAAATTGCCTTAATTGGAGTGGATGCCTTACTTCATGCATTCAACCATTTAGGTGCATTAAAATAAAAGACATTGACGACATTTATTGTGCACATTTCGGAGGGATGAACGAACAATATGGTTCGTAGCATTCTTTTTTCGCACCATCATGAAAAGTTGCGTAGAAAAATCAGCTTATTATTTGCAGGATTTCATTCGCAGTATCCAGACTAGGAAGCCAAAGAAACTTAAGTTTGTAGCTGTTACACGATTCTTGAGTATGAGTCTTGAAGTTAGGGAAATTAAAGAATCGGAGTCAATTATCAACGGATTCAAAATTCTTAAACATGAATAAACACCACGGTTTCGAAAATAATAAGGAGATAGACTTTTCTAAGTAACTTAACAAGTGTTGGTCTTTGGACAACGCTTGTTTAAGTGCTCCATCGCTAGGGGCAATTCGTTACTTGCCCTACCGCTAATAGTTTGGATACGTGCCAGCAGTGGTAATTCTTGCTTTTGTAATATTGTAATCTAACTAACATGCATTTTATTGTTATATCCTAAGATCTATATTAAGTAAAATGATTATGGCAGTCGAATAAATTTTTCTTTCCCATAGATGAATGGGGAAATCGAACTGGTAAGAAGTTCTACTGTTCAAAAGAGCTTTTTGAAGTCACCATCATGTAGACCAGCTCTCCAAAATGCAGACCACCTCACTTCCTCAGATCTTTCCTTGTATAGTACGACCGTTTCTCGAATGTCAGATGTCGTACGCTCTGATCTCGACCATCTTTCTGATATTGGAATCGGAAGTAACACTACACCTGAAACTTTTGAGAATGCTCGAAAAGATCGTGACTTATCCCGTAATCCCACAAATAGCTCTGGGATAATTTTAACACCAGTGTCCTGTCAGGGGTGTCAAGTATCTACTCCTTTAACCGAAGTTAGTGACTCACTGGCTCTTGGATCACAATTGACCAGTTCTTGTGTAACTAGCTCTGATGATCTGAACAAAAATCATTTTCTGTCTTTAATAAAATCAAACTCAGAACATTTGGATAAGATCTCATCTGCGTCAGATGTAGTTGATTTCGGGAAACTCGCTTATGGTCGCCTTGATGGACAGTTGTGCGAATCAGAATATCGAAATAAGCTAAACAAAACACATAATTTGACTTCTGTTGACCAGTTAACAGATACTACTTGCTTGCGTGTTAACAATCTCAGTGCAGATTATCGTTTAATAAGAGCGGCAATAGAGTCTGGTATTACATCTGATACGCTTACAGGTATCAATCAAAAAAGCGACACGAAGTGTTTTCAAGCTGAGTCGGACAGTTTGGATATTTCAACTGAATTCGGAGTACCAAGTAATGCATGGAACCACCGGAATTGTGCAGGGGTTACTTCTGCTGACCATGGCTTTTCATTTGTCGGGGACACGATTACGTCTCTTATGTCTAACACAGAAATAGATCAAGATGGTGTTTTAAGTGACGGTCATTGTAGCAACATTTTCCCCACTTGTCATAGCAACAATTCCACTACTGCGACTGTTGCGACTAAGCGCCCAATCACTGGGGCTCACCAAACAGCACGCTACCCTGCAGTTAATAAAGGTATGTGGTCGAGTAATTCTAATGGGCTGTCAAACTCTGCACTTGGATACATGGTTTCCAATGCATGGAGCAGCAGCGGCACCAGTATTTCATCAAAGTTAGGCAGTAGTCTTGTCACTGATTCGAATTCTCCTACAGTTTGTGATTTTCCTGGAAATGAAGGCAATACGGTTTCATGGTCTCAAAATTCATCAGTTCATCAAACACTTCATAAGTCAAACGTCCAGAACATTCCAAATATGGTCGGACCTGTCGGTTTTGGTGGTGGAATGGCTAACGGTTCCTTAAATCGAGCAGCTGTGTCCGTAGGTCTTGTATCAGTATCTACAGCCGGCGTCAGTATTACCAGTAACAATAAAGTAAACGAGGCAGGACTGTCAAATATATATAGTATGTTTCCTAAGCGCCCCCAACACCGAATGATGGCACATTGGCAGCAACAGCAACAACATCATCAAAATTCACAACAAGTACCCCTAGGTAAAAGTCCCATGAACATTGTCACAAGTAATATTCAACTTAATGGTAATCGTGGTAGTTTAGCTGCAGTTAATTCCACTCTCTCAGCTCTCCCAAATGGTTGTGAGGATTCTGGTGTGAATAACAGTGCTGGAAGTTTCAATAACCACTCTATCATCCAGTCACTAAACAGTGTTGGGTCCTCATCGTCTGCAAATAGTCCGCTTGTTCTGTGTTCTTCTGGAGACTCCTTCACGAATACCTTGCCATTCAATAGTCCAACGTCGGAAAGTTCCTTAGATAGTTTCAAATACGGGCTAGATCAACAGCTTATGGAAGTTATCAAATCTTTTGAAATCAGTAGCATTGGAGGTTCTAATTTAGCTTCTTCGAATGCAAATAGTACATCTATGGGGGGGATCGATGATTTAACATTGTCATCTAGTTTTGGAGAGGTAGATCAACAAATACCTGGTTTAAATTCTGCAAGCCAAATGCCTGTCTTAGGCTCACCGTCAATACACAACTCAACACCTATGATAAATGGTTCAAATAACCAAAGTTCAAGTTTTAATAGTCTTTCTAGCTACAACGGGAGTTCAATAATGGGTTCAGCTGGAATGACAAGTCCGTATTCTATGTTTGCAAATATCTTTACTCGTGAAGAGGGATTTTCACGCAAAGTATTCGTTGGAGGTCTCCCACCTGATATAGACGAAGGTATGTCAATATATATTAGCTGGAATTTTTTGCTTTTCGTGGGTTATTGATGTAAATTATTTTATTATGCTTGTCACTGTTTGGTTCAAATAATGGAAGATAGTTCAGTAAAAAATGTTGACTATGACTTCACGATTATTCGTATAAAAGTTTATATTCCTCATCATAGATAATTTGTTTGTTGATAGGGCGTTTTGTATATATTAATTAAATGCATCGTCGCTGTTGCTCATTAGCTTAGGTACTCTAATTTCAACCAAACTCTAACAATCACTTGATGGGGGAAAAGATGGTTGGGGATTATCATTAACTCAAAAATCCTTGTCTTTATTTCGGTAAATAAGCCTATGTGGCTTGTGAGTGCTACTACTATTATTTCTTGAAACCAGTTCAAGTACAAGTCTGTTTATTAGTTAAAATACAAACCTTAGTAAGGAGGTAATGACGCATTACGACATGGATTCTTTGATTTCCCTCGATCCTTCTCAGCTTCAAACATCTTTACTGGTATCCTGGATACTAGTTTAAAACCCAAGGTCTTAAAAATGCAGCTTTGACTTGTCTATTATTTTAAAAGTAATTTCTAGACATTTGCTTCATACACTTCGTGGACTTCAATGATCTAAAATTTCATTTCCAGTTACTAGTTTAATATTTATATTGTAGTCTCATGGTTTATACGCTCAAACTTTATTCTGTAACGGACCATTTTTTCCTGTATTTTGAACATCAAGTTGTTTTCCGTTATTTTGTTACATAACTTAGGAGTTTGTTAGAATACCAAAAGTAAATAGTCGACAGTAAATGGATAAAAATTTCAATTGTAGTTACCCTCGATCACTAGTTTAAACTTCGATTTCAGGATACATGTATGTTGAAAGTTTTTGAGGTGTTCGAAGAAAAGTGCAATCATTATTTTTAACACCAAGACACTACCGATCTGTTCATTGAATCCAGCAGTTATTGTTGCTTCTTTCACTCATTGTGTCCTTGAATTTATACAGAACCTCAGGTTTTTAGAATGGTAAAGTTTGTGGATTTCATCTTTTTGGTGCTTTATGTGAATTTATTTTATCAGTATCGAAAACACGAATCGTATATAATTTTGTTCGATGTAACTCTTGTGTATTATGACTGTTTTGAGAGATTTTTAATTTATGGTGGATTAATAATGCAAAAATTTAGTATACCTTGGGGTTCAGAAAAACAAAATTCCTAATTCTGAGTTATTTGACCGTTGATGTTGTGGATTGTAACTTTGACTATTATGTATGATAGCATTTTCTCAATAATTACAAGGCCGGTTAAGTGAATTTGAAGGGTTGAAATTCATTTTACAAGTTAACTGATGGAAAATTTGGGTATTTTGATTACTTGATTAGAGGTAAAGGGGAGCTTAGTACTTCAACATTGGTAAACTTTATAGGCCTAAGTGTTTTCTTGAATATGTAATTGATCACTAGTTGTAGTATAGCAACTCGACGACAACGTCTGAACCACATGTCTAGAGACGCCTCACTGGATTTAATTACCAAACTCCTTCAAGTCAATCTTCAGTATAAAAGTGATTTTCTGTAAAAGGGTGCGTTTCACCACTACATATAGGCTATATTTAGCGCTTTACTCTAAGCCCTAATTATAATACGATATATATTTGGTGAACATAGTGAAGTTTAAAGAAATGATTTTAGGTTTCAAACAGTTAACTTCTTACTGAATTAATCGACGTATGTTCTGTTTACTAAATGAATGAGAAAGAAGACGATAAGTGACTCAATATAGTAATAGTAGTCGAGAAAATGTTTGTGTGCAATGAAACATCTTTAAACTTGTTTATCCTTAAGACTGTTAGTATAAATAATAGGTCATAAACCGTTGAATCAGTCTTTTGAATACATCAAGAAATTCGCTATTTATCTACACTTACAAAGCACTTTATTTACTGGCATTAAGAATCTTTGGGGTCATGGTCATATTATTTAATCACGCAGCTGCATTGAACTTTGACCAAGTCAAAAATACTTTTTTTTGGTCTGGTGTGCAGAGCTTCAGAATGTTCAAAGATGGGTCCTCAAGAAAACAGCATCGTGAAAAAAATACCAGCACTTGAAATCCTTCGCTCAACTTACAGTGCAAGTAATATAGTTCCAGCACTTAAATTGCTAAGGCTTAGAAATTACTTTAACTAAACGACGGAGCAGGTACATATACATGTAAATGATACCAGGTATTATCCCCAGGGTGAAATATTGAAGTAAAATAAAAACTTACCAGTCGAGTCAACATACAATAGTTAATTAATTTCAGATCTATTTTAATTATCGTAGCCGTCTGTACCACATTATTTATTTATTTATTTGAACACATAAATATTGGTACAAGGAAGCACCAGATACATATGCGCCATACAAATCTCATTCGATTTGCTTGAGGGCTGTGATACTGCCCAGGTGCCCGAACTGAAGCAGGTCTGTACCACATAGTTGTATTATAAATTAAATGATACGCATTAATTTCGACACAGCTTCAAAACATATTCCAAACTGTAAAATTACCTAGTGATCAGTTATCTATAAAGTCAGAGATTGAAGTCCACAAAAGATCGCGAAGTCGATTAACTGTAGTGCTTGTGTATTGCTGTAAGTTGATTTTCAATAATAAATAATTCGTGAGATTGATATTTCTAACAGTAGTATTGGTATTTGCCTCTTAGTTCTACCACCATTAAATTAACTACTATGAATTCGGTGTTCATCTTGTTGTGCTAATGAGGTATGGAAACTTGGACCGATGCATATATGTGCCTGGTCCTACGTTGTAGTTGACTGACTGACTCTACGGAACCGCCTCTACATTGGCTGTCATCGTACATTTCTGCATACACCATTAATTCATTAATCAAAACGTTTTTCGATTCTGTTTTAGAGGAAATAACCACTGCTTTTCGTCGATTTGGCCCTTTAATAGTTGACTGGCCTCATAAAACCGAAAGTAAGGCATATTTTCCACCAAAAGGTAAGTTGTACCTCATCCTTTTTCCTCTCCTTTAAAAAAGATTTTTCATTTAAAGTTTGGGAATAGTAGTTCTTAGGGATTCATTTAGCCATTACTTAATGAAAGACTAATAATCATCAATAATAACTCTCCAAGTTTTTACGTCGTTGTAAACTTGGTCTTAGAAAAAATATCTTAATTCCTAGTAAGAATTCAATCCATTCTATTTAGTTAAGAAATTGGTAGATACATTGTTTATCGCGTTTGAAGTCAATATTTGCAAAGAAAATAAAGGGGATATAAGTAATACCTTAAAGCTATATATTCAGTCTTTCCAAAGAAGTTACAATGAATGTAATTGCGATTCAGTAAACTTTTGTTTCACTTTGATGATATGTTACAGTTTGATACTCTTGATCATTATTAACACCATAATTTATCACATGCCTGAGGTCAGTGATTAGAAACCTCATCATTCATTGACCTGGAGTGAACTAACTAATTTGCAATAATTATTGATTTTTGTCTAGATAAAACTAGTTCTCATTAATTAAAAGATTTAACTCTCAATCATTTTAGGTTCATGAAATAAAAATCCCACTTCATATTCGTTGATTCCTATAGTTCTGTACATTAACCTGTACTACTTGCTGAATTCCGATCCGTAGTCGTATACCACTAAAGAACAATTCATTGATATTAACATATCAGTACTACCTCCACAGATTACTTGTTTATCCTAAATTTCTGTGTTCGTTTAGGCTATTGTTTTCTGCTATTCCAAGATGAACGATCTGTTCAAAGTCTTATTAATGCTTGTATTGTTGATGAAGGAAAATACTATTGGTGCGTATCATCACCCACGATGAAAGATAAACCCGTAAGTTCTCATAGAGATACGTATAATCTGAACTTCATCCGTTATTATGTTTATTTTTGTGCGTTATAAAAACGATTTTTTACTTCTGCTAAACGCCAAGGTAATTAGTGTAGGTGATGTATTGTACGATGGTCGTGATTTTATTGTAAAAATAAGTCTGTGGCTTTTCTTGACTGGAATATTAACTTTATGTTTTATGCTGTCATCTTAATCAACTTATTTTGATTCAACCTAGACTTTGATTGTCTTTAATTGAACTACATTATTCTTCCGAAAATGCTTTTTCTGCTGCCCTACAGATAAACGTTATAAGCTATAGTGTTTTTATGCTTAAGGTTAAATAGTTAAACTACTAACCGTCTCACAATTATCAATTCCCTAGTGAAGTTCCAGAAAGTGCAGTGTCAGATGTTTTCCATCGATGTAGGGCCTGGAACTATTGTGTATCGGTCCAATTTGTTATAATTCACATTAGCACAGCGAGGAAGAAAATTAATGAGGTGTAAGATATATATAGGAATGACACCTGAGATTTACAGCGAGATGGAGAATCAATGCAAATACATCATTACAATTCACCATACCTACTCACTGCTTTCTCGTGGCGGGGGTGTTGTTTACGAAATTTAAAGAACGAAAAGCGGATTTTCGGCGCTTTAACCGGGTTGGTGGACATGGAGAGTCCACCTAGGAAACTTGGGAAACCCTGATTCCAAACCAATGGTGCACATAGGCTCCAGTATCCTAATGGGACAAATGGCGTATGAACTAATTGTTGGTCACCGGCTACCATGGGACTGCATCTCCTAACGTTGCTCCACTACCTTGTGGATTAGACCTTTAGGTCAAAAGCTCCGGGTGTAGCTCCCTAAGAAAACCATTTGTTTCGGTTTGTTCACCCGGGAAGTATCACAGTCCACACACAAATCAATTGACTTGTGTGGCACATATGTTTTCGGTGCTTCCTTGTACCAATATTTATGTGTTCAAATAAATAATAAGTAAAATATGCCGTATGTCATCCATTATCTACTAGTATTGCGCGTACTCCAACCAGGAAGTCGCCATAACATTGTTCAGATCAGCAGTTATTACTTCATAGATTTACTCTATACAAAGGTATAGTTGCCCCTGGTTTTTCTCCTCCTACTCTTATATCAAGTAAAATCGGATGTCAGGGTAGGCAGTGGTAACATATATCCTAACCCTCTCAATCAATAAAAGCGTATAGCCACATAAATCAACTTCTTTGTACCTAATACCCTGTGGTCAACCTCAAGTTCGGTTACACAGTTGTTTTGTCATTCACAAACAGTGTTCCGAAGACGACTATGATAAAGTGCTAGTCACTTTTCATGTCTTCTAATTTCACAGTTCTTCAATAGCTTGATTTGACAATGTATGGTTCGATAATCATAGTCATAAATGCTTATCGATCGACCGATTTATTTTTCGTCATCTGTATATTCCCTAATTATTTGTTTGTCAGTTGAAATCTGGGCCTGGATTGTCCACATACTTTTTATTACTTGTTCAAGAGATCTTTCGTACTTTCTCATGGTATAATTACCGTTAAAGATCTACAGTCTACCAGGATTGTATACTTATGCGCATAGGCCAAGTAACTTGGTTAGATACATTGCAGTTACTGTATCTAAAAGTAATACGTAAAACCCGTTGCATTTTGTCTTCATGGATGATTTGTTTAAAAGTTAAGGTGTACAAAGTGCACTAAAGATTACTTTTATTTGTGTGATGTATGTGCCAAAACAAAGAGTTTCAGTAGAATTGGTAGCTATTTTATTTAGTACTGTATGATCTTCGACATATGCATCATTCTATCGGTCGTGGATACATTAATTGAGTCGAGTTCTTCAGTAAACTTTTCTGAGCTATATAAATTTTATCCATATCTCTTTGTGATGTGAAAATCCTTTTATTTTTGGTTTTAAAATTTATCTGAAGTTGTTAATATCATGACGTAACCTTCACCTTTCATCTAAAGTACTATTTTACTGAACAAGAACTTAGGTAGGGCAAACCAATTCATTGTTTAGTGCAATATTACAATGTCTTCATAAAATATGAAAACCATACATTAAATACTCCATTTTCACATCTTCCACCGATTGTGTCTTATAAACTTTATCGCTTGTTCATTCCTGTTATTATTGCAATCACTATGTGTTTACATTCCTGTTCTCTTCAATTGGATATTCTCGAACTTCTTCTGTCAGGCATTCCACTTCTGTTTAGTGTTAGGTACTACTTATGCTTGTCAACATATATCAGATTATATCCAGGTCAAAAAATGGTGTCTCTAGTATGGTTTACTCCATGCGGTTTTATCTAAGATTGTGTATGACAAGAGATGTCTCGTTAAATTACATACTTTATTGTTGCGTCCATTATTTTCACAGAAAAATATTCTGGTGGTCTAAAACCTTGGACATGATTTAGTTTTTTGATTAATGACTCATGAGATTCCACGGAATTTGAAAATATCCTTTATTGTATCGCTCTGCCAGAAAAAATCAGCTGTATAGACATATTTTTCACCTTGTTCTCAAAATCATTAATATGATTCATTCATTACTCTATACTACTTAATCAAGAGTATTGTTTGTTTGGATCTTCCCATCGATGTGTTTAGGACTGCAACTGGTCAGTCTCTAATTGGCATATGTGCATACTGTGCGTATTACCTCGATATACCTTAATTCACAAGCATGGTAAGCAGAGATGGATAGTTCCTTAGTACACTATTTTATGGTTAAGCTGTTCCATTTGGTTCCAGAAACTAATATTTCCAATTGTTAAGGGAAGGTGTGGTTGTGAAATCTTCACCTTACGGCATCAGTACAAAGAATCTAAAATCTAGTAATTAGTCTAATGAATAAGGTTTTTGAACTTAATCTACTTTTGGTATCAAATAGATCTAAACAAGTTTATCATTTCCTGTTAATTTGCATCAAGTTGGATATCTTCATGTGTCGTTTCTGAATAGAAAGGTTGTCTTGTGGTTATTTACTTAGAGATACATTTGTTATACGTTTCTTGAACAAACAAGTCAGTTGCAAAGCATAACCTGCTACGTATGTACGTTAGTTCAAGTTGCCATACCCCATTAGCACAGAAAGATAAAATTGTTTGGCCAAATCCTAGAATAATAGGGGTAGTAACAGTATCAGTTGTAACTGAAGAGATTAAAGATCAAAGATACTATTCAAAAAGAAAATACAAATTAGTGAAATAAAGTTATGATGAAGTTCAGAATCTGGAAGAAGACAAAGAGTGGATGCATCTGCGCTATTGCGAATGGTTTTGAGCTATGTCATTTAAAGTCTAATCACTGGTTACAATAATCACGCGGACCCCTAGAAAACTAGTGCCTGTTTACAGTTAGCTTTTAAGCAACCTCCACCAGTCCACTTAAGCAAAAAAATTCCTCTTTGCTTCATGAAACATCACAACTTTGCATCGATCTTGTTCAATTGAATTTCGCATCAGTTCTCTGCTGTAACGTTCAATATTGAAAAATAGTGATTCTAATGGTAACTCAACTTTTGTTAGCTTTTTCGGTAATTCATTACCAATATTACCAGATTTCGTTTATTTTCCAGCATACAGTTATCAAAGGTACCTGATGAATCATGCTATTGAACTGGCTGATCTGAAACACTCAAAATTTTGTTTTGAGTTCATTTAATTAAACTTTTACTCGCTTGCGTTTTGTTCTCTTAACCATTAAACTTTTTAGCCGACATTGCTATCTTCTAGTATTTCATGTTGTCAAACAATTAACTCCCTTATTTTAGCAAAGTTCAATCAATGTGGGATTTTTAATTTGGCTTTTACATACTTTACATACTTGTTAGATCTGACTTCTGCTCATTGTTTTCTACAACGTTGGTATTCACTTTATGAAACTGTATGTTTGGAAACACCAAGTAAACAAGAGTAGAGCTACTTTTTAATTGTTAACATTATTTGCTGTTTTACTTATAAGCTCTTTTTAAAAAAAAATCGTAATAGGTTCAGATTCGACCATGGAACTTAGCAGACTCTGATTTTGTCATGGATGGTTCACAACCATTAGATCCTCGTAAAACGATTTTTGTTGGAGGCGTTCCACGTCCACTTAGAGCTAGTAAGTTAACCAATAAGTTGGTAGTATAATCTTATGAAAGTGTGATAGATATTTCCTATTAATTATCATTATTATAATATGAAAAATATGGTTTCTAGCTTGTTTCAACTGTTTGCCAACCGGATATTCCTTTTATCTATGATCTTTCCGTATGTACATCTCATAAAAATCACATTTTATTCATTTGAGTTATAAAAAGCTATCTTCGATGAGTACTTCTTATACATATAGTTTTCATCATTAAATAGCTACGATTAACTAAAGGGAGCTACGAGACCAAGAGCAATTATTATTTCTATTGGTTCTTCAGCTTCCATCAATTTGTGACATCAAATTCGGTCTTCAGATTGCACAAATCTCTACACAAGATCAACTGTGAAAACAATTTCATTGATTGTTTCCTTCCCTATTCTTTTTCGAAGTGACTCGTATCAGACAAAGTATTGAATTAACAAGATTCATTAAGTTTGTCTATTCGCCAATCAGTCCGTCTTTTTTATGCATATATGCAATGTGAAATTAACATTTTCATATCCGTATCAAATATTCACATAAGTTAATCAACTTACACACATTGCAATGAGTCATAGTTGTATAAAAGTCCAGATGCATTTTGGATTTCTATTTAAAACCGATAAAAAAATCCTTATGTAGGTCAACTATGTGAAAGACAAGTTCTAAATATTTTCCACGTACAAGTCCACAAAGAGACTTGCTCAGTGTACAATTTTTTACTCGAAAACTGAGTCACATTTTAATGTATGTAATTTCCTAGACTTTGTAATCATATACACAGTCCCATGCCTTACACATTTTGTAATGAAAATTATCTATTAGGTGAGTTCATGAAGAGTCGACGGTTTATAGCGATCTAAAAGTGTAGAAATTCAGATTTTTAGCGGGAATTATCAAGGCGGAAAGTAAACTATAAACAAAAACCATACACAGAAACAAATCCATTGTAAACTTGTTCTTGTTTTGCGGAAAATATTTGTCGTTCAGAAAACATTTATTATTTTCTGATTTACCAAGTAGATTAATATGAATGATACTAATATTGATGTTCATTAGTTGACCAGTAGAATTGATATTCCAAGGACTCGATAATGAAGACCAATGTAGCACAAACATATTATTTGAAGTAAATAGCATTTTACGAAATGGATAAGATTGATACACTCTAAATCTATAGTAATCACTTGTAACCTACTTATCTTCTGATGTAGTTATTACATTTACTTGGAAAAGTGCATTTGTAAAGGTCTGTCACTTTTGACAATATTATAATTCTTATACAACCATAAACTGTAATAGTTTTCCTTAAAATGATTTATTAAATTCACCTAATAAAGTCTTATGTATTTCGTACAACATAGTGATAATATATTTTCATAATGAAAATCTAAATAAATTTTTGTTTTAAAATTTCATGAAACGGATAAATATAAAATATTTTAGTTAGATTTGACCTATATTTATTAAAATTAAGGTAAGAGAAAAAAACACAAAAAAGAAAAATCCTTTTCGTGTTTTAGAAAAAAAGATATTTTCATATATCGATTTCCCCATTCATCCAACTGCATTCAGTTACTTTGCAACTTCGTCCATATTAATAATCTTGCATATATATATATATATATATATATATATATATATATATATATATGCAAGATTATTAATATGGACGAAGTTGCAAAGTAACTGAATGCAGTTGGATGAATGGGGAAATCGATATATGAAAATATCTTTTTTTCTAAAACACGAAAAGGATTTTTCTTTTTTGTGTTTTTTTTCTCTTACCTTAATTTTAATAAATATAGGTCAAATCTAACTAAAATATTTTATATTTATCCGTTTCATGAAATTTTAAAACAAAAATTTATTTAGATTTTCATTATGAAAATATATTATCACTATGTTGTACGAAATACATAAGACTTTATTAGGTGAATTTAATAAATCATTTTAAGGAAAACTATTACAGTTTATGGTTGTATAAGAATTATAATATTGTCAAAAGTGACAGACCTTTACAAATGCACTTTTCCAAGTAAATGTAATAACTACATCAGAAGATAAGTAGGTTACAAGTGATTACTATAGATTTAGAGTGTATCAATCTTATCCATTTCGTAAAATGCTATTTACTTCAAATAATATGTTTGTGTTACATTGGTCTTCATTATCGAGTCCTTGGAATATCAATTCTACTGTTCAACTAATGAACATCAATATTAGTATCATTCATATTAATCTACTTGGTAAATCAGAAAATAATAAATGTTTTCTGAACGACAAATATTTTCCGCAAAACAAGAACAAGTTTACAATGGATTTGTTTCTGTGTATGGTTTTTGTTTATAGTTTACTTTCCGCCTTGATAATTCCCGCTAAAAATCTGAATTTCTACACTTTTAGATCGCTATAAACCGTCGACTCTTCATGAACTCACCTAATAGATAATTTTCATTACAAAATGTGTAAGGCATGGGACTGTGTATATGATTACAAAGTCTAGGAAATTACATACATTAAAATGTGACTCAGTTTTCGAGTAAAAAATTGTACACTGAGCAAGTCTCTTTGTGGACTTGTACGTGGAAAATATTTAGAACTTGTCTTTCACATAGTTGACCTACATAAGGATTTTTTTATCGGTTTTAAATAGAAATCCAAAATGCATCTGGACTTTTATACAACTATGACTCATTGCAATGTGTGTAAGTTGATTAACTTATGTGAATATTTGATACGGATATGAAAATGTTAATTTCACATTGCATATATGCATAAAAAAGACGGACTGATTGGCGAATAGACAAACTTAATGAATCTTGTTAATTCAATACTTTGTCTGATACGAGTCACTTCGAAAAAGAATAGGGAAGGAAACAATCAATGAAATTGTTTTCACAGTTGATCTTGTGTAGAGATTTGTGCAATCTGAAGACCGAATTTGATGTCACAAATTGATGGAAGCTGAAGAACCAATAGAAATAATAATTGCTCTTGGTCTCGTAGCTCCCTTTAGTTAATCGTAGCTATTTAATGATGAAAACTATATGTATAAGAAGTACTCATCGAAGATAGCTTTTTATAACTCAAATGAATAAAATGTGATTTTTATGAGATGTACATACGGAAAGATCATAGATAAAAGGAATATCCGGTTGGCAAACAGTTGAAACAAGCTAGAAACCATATTTTTCATATTATAATAATGATAATTAATAGGAAATATCTATCACACTTTCATAAGATTATACTACCAACTTATTGGTTAACTTACTAGCTCTAAGTGGACGTGGAACGCCTCCAACAAAAATCGTTTTACGAGGATCTAATGGTTGTGAACCATCCATGACAAAATCAGAGTCTGCTAAGTTCCATGGTCGAATCTGAACCTATTACGATTTTTTTTTAAAAAGAGCTTATAAGTAAAACAGCAAATAATGTTAACAATTAAAAAGTAGCTCTACTCTTGTTTACTTGGTGTTTCCAAACATACAGTTTCATAAAGTGAATACCAACGTTGTAGAAAACAATGAGCAGAAGTCAGATCTAACAAGTATGTAAAGTATGTAAAAGCCAAATTAAAAATCCCACATTGATTGAACTTTGCTAAAATAAGGGAGTTAATTGTTTGACAACATGAAATACTAGAAGATAGCAATGTCGGCTAAAAAGTTTAATGGTTAAGAGAACAAAACGCAAGCGAGTAAAAGTTTAATTAAATGAACTCAAAACAAAATTTTGAGTGTTTCAGATCAGCCAGTTCAATAGCATGATTCATCAGGTACCTTTGATAACTGTATGCTGGAAAATAAACGAAATCTGGTAATATTGGTAATGAATTACCGAAAAAGCTAACAAAAGTTGAGTTACCATTAGAATCACTATTTTTCAATATTGAACGTTACAGCAGAGAACTGATGCGAAATTCAATTGAACAAGATCGATGCAAAGTTGTGATGTTTCATGAAGCAAAGAGGAATTTTTTTGCTTAAGTGGACTGGTGGAGGTTGCTTAAAAGCTAACTGTAAACAGGCACTAGTTTTCTAGGGGTCCGCGTGATTATTGTAACCAGTGATTAGACTTTAAATGACATAGCTCAAAACCATTCGCAATAGCGCAGATGCATCCACTCTTTGTCTTCTTCCAGATTCTGAACTTCATCATAACTTTATTTCACTAATTTGTATTTTCTTTTTGAATAGTATCTTTGATCTTTAATCTCTTCAGTTACAACTGATACTGTTACTACCCCTATTATTCTAGGATTTGGCCAAACAATTTTATCTTTCTGTGCTAATGGGGTATGGCAACTTGAACTAACGTACATACGTAGCAGGTTATGCTTTGCAACTGACTTGTTTGTTCAAGAAACGTATAACAAATGTATCTCTAAGTAAATAACCACAAGACAACCTTTCTATTCAGAAACGACACATGAAGATATCCAACTTGATGCAAATTAACAGGAAATGATAAACTTGTTTAGATCTATTTGATACCAAAAGTAGATTAAGTTCAAAAACCTTATTCATTAGACTAATTACTAGATTTTAGATTCTTTGTACTGATGCCGTAAGGTGAAGATTTCACAACCACACCTTCCCTTAACAATTGGAAATATTAGTTTCTGGAACCAAATGGAACAGCTTAACCATAAAATAGTGTACTAAGGAACTATCCATCTCTGCTTACCATGCTTGTGAATTAAGGTATATCGAGGTAATACGCACAGTATGCACATATGCCAATTAGAGACTGACCAGTTGCAGTCCTAAACACATCGATGGGAAGATCCAAACAAACAATACTCTTGATTAAGTAGTATAGAGTAATGAATGAATCATATTAATGAATTTGAGAACAAGGTGAAAAATATGTCTATACAGCTGATTTTTTCTGGCAGAGCGATACAATAAAGGATATTTTCAAATTCCGTGGAATCTCATGAGTCATTAATCAAAAAACTAAATCATGTCCAAGGTTTT